CTGGCATCGCTACTAGGAGCAAGGACGCTACGAACGGGGCTCCTGGCCGTACTACTAGGACCAAGAAACTATTCATGGTCTGCTATCCGCTTTGACCTCACCCTCCAAGCTGAAGCCCCGCCTCCGAGCTGCTGGGAGCCGATGTCGCAGGTCCAAGTTGCAAGGGCCTCACAGGAATAGCTGCACCAAAACTGGACCTGAAGACCTCTTGAGGACCTCTTGAGGACCATCTGAGTCAAAGAAGAGGCACTTGTTCAGAGACATCCAAAGGTTGATTTTCAGCTGTTGGATTGGAGTGTGGCTGAATTGCCTAATTGAGCTTTGTTTCTTCTATCTTTGTGGTGGCCGCACGGCCTCTGACTTGGCTTCTCCTGCGCAGCCTCCAAGATCTTGAGCACCTCGGAGGTGCTCAGAAATTTGATAGAAAAACAAGTTGAGCTTAGAGCTTGAAAGGATTGCAACTGTTGCTGTTGTCCTTGAACATGGGGGTCAAAAAGGGTTGGCCTATGAGGCTATGAGGAGGTGATACATGGTGATACTTGTAGAACGAATTCCCAGTTGCAAGCACAGTGGGGAGCTCAAGCTACTTGGAGCTCATGTTTTGCAAACGCCAGCCATGAGTTGATATTGCATGAGCGTTGCAACTTGCAACGTTGCTCTTGCTGAATAGCATGGACTTGGCCTGGTTGGACCAAGTCAACTTCCGATCTCTTCATGCGACCTCTCCCGGTATCTACAGCTGTGAGGGTAGAAACCGGATGGTGAAGGACAGGCACATTAACAAAACCTGGGCAGACCTCCCTGATGGAGCCAATCCTAGCCCTGCACAAGCCAGTCAACATCAAGGTCTTGGTGCTCTAAATGTTCCCTTCCTAGACAAGTCCGCCGACCCCAGCCTAGCCGCAGCCTAGGCGGGAGGCGCCTGGAACACCGCAGGGTGCAACCTTGGCATTGGCATCTCCACCTTTGTGGGCTTTAGCACAGGCCACAGCCTTAGAACTGAGCCTCTGGAACCTGCCACCTCGGCCTGCACCTCTTTTCTTTGGAGTCCCGAAGGCAACGTCCAGGCGCCTTCAAACCCTTCCCAGCTCCTGCATCGCAGCCTTGCCTTCTCGGCAGCTGGCAGGCCTGCCTCTTCTTTTCTTATGGGCTTCCGAAAGCGACGTTAGGCAAACTGAGCCTCTGGAACCTGCCACCTCGGCAGCCCTCAAACCCTTCTCGGCAGCTGGCAGGCCTGCCTCTTCTCTTCTTCTGGGCTTCCGAAAGCGACGTTACGCATTTTGGACGCTCTCTAACTCTTCTCGGCAGCTGGCAGGCCTGCCTCTTCTCTTCTTCTGGGCTTCCGAAAGCGACGTTAGGCATTTTGGACCGGCTTCAAACCCTCCCCAGCGCCTTTGGCCTACTCCTGCACCGCAGCCTTGCCTGCGCTGGGGAGGGAGCCTGTGGAACGTGCAGCCCGTGCACTGCAGCCTTAGAACTGGCCTCTGGAACCTGCCACCTCGGCCTGCACCTCTTTTCTTTAGGGTCCCGAAGGCAACGTCCAGGCGCCTTCAAACCCTTACCAGCGCCTTTGTCGCAGCCTTGCCGGCGTCAGGCGGGAGCCTGGGGAGGGAGCCTCTGGAACGTGCAGCCCGTGCACTGCAGCCTTAGAACTGAGCCTCTGGAACCTGCCACCTCGGCCCCCC